CCCTAATTACAAGATCTAAACTGTCACTCATAATTGAAACACAACTAATGGACTCGCTAATAGGTTTCAGCTTAAATGTCATTAAAGCAGCTGATGTGGAGGCAGAGGGACGCGTGGGCGTTCAAAATTCATGCGTCCCGCGGCCATTAGCCCCGAGATTTATCCGACTGGTGAATTAATACAGGAAGCTATTTAAAGGCGCGCGGGGTGAGATATTCTAGGAAATGTTCATTAGTCTCTCCAGCATGTGGGGCTAATTAAAGCCCCGTCAGAAAGCATTTACTTTAGGCACAGCTCTGTGTGACTAACTGTGTCTCTGCATGGACACCAAACGGTAACCTACCTCGCCATGACCTCCAAGGTGTCCTTCCTATGGGCGGGGAGAGAGGAAAGGATCAAAATCAGGTATCTGCATGATAGGTGCAACGTAGGATTTAAATATCCTTTGACAAAGACTAAAAGTCAGAAGAGGACCAAAGCATGATAAAAATCCACCGAGTGCATTTTTCTTGGTTGATGTTCCAGAAACTGCTGATTCATCGTTTATGTTTAATGAAAATTTTAATTTGAGTTTTTTTGCTTCTTACTCAAAGAAATCTAAGAGTAAAACTCTGCAGGTCAATCAACTTAGTGTTAAATCTGCAGATCCAAACAAAAAACAACATATTTACTGTTGTTTGCAAACTTAAGGTAACTTAAAAGTAACTGTTATGTTTAGTGGTACTCACCTGAAACAGGGAAGAGAGATGACCGTTTCGTAAAACCTCCAAGTGGCAATAAGGTCTTCCCTGATTGGATTGGTGGAATAATATCTCCAGGCAGACTTGAGATGGGAAGACAGGAGATCAACCAGAAGTTATAACAACACTCATCTTAACTGAGTCCAGAAAACACAGAAAGTCTCAGCTGGACCACGCAGAAAGATGCCGATGCCGTCGGGTAGCGTCTCACCTGGATGAGGCCTGCAGCCGGATGTCTGCGCTTCTCAAAGTGCTTCTGTCTGTGCTGCTCCTGGACCTTCAGAGCCAGGCCCGAGCCCAGAATACCCTGCAGCCATAAAAACAGAAAACACGTCGCTCAGTGCTCCCGTCGTGCTGCGGGACGCCAGTACCGAGCAAAATGTTAACGCCTCGCCTTTATCTTGGTGAGGGTTAGCAAAAGGTCACAGCTTGGCTCAAAAGTCCTCCTGTGTCCGCATCGACCAACGCAAGCAGATGTTTTACACGTACATGCAAACACATGACCTCCTGGTCATTAAGGAGGTGCAGGGTGGTGCTGTGCTAGCTGTATCCATGGGACTGATTACAGCTGATAACCTTCAGTGGGAACATGTTTTACCCACATGTTAACTGATGCTTCCAGAATGTGGAGGCTCTGGTTCGAGTCCCACTGAGACCTGCTTTCACTTGGTCGAGTGTCGGTAAACTGTGGATGTAAATAAGGCTCTTTATTAACCCTTTAAGACAGACCATAGAACCAAGTCCGCCAGAGCTTATATTATATGTTTACATGCTGTGGAGCCATTTTTGGGAGCATTTCAAGTTGATATACATCAATACAACCATTATAGCCCAGATTTTAATAATATGT